ATTTATTTCTGAATTATTCCAAAATTATGAAAAAAAATTCCCATGAAAAATACACCAATAATGATATATATATATATATATATATATATATATATATATATATATGGGGCCATTTGATATACACCCCTAGAATGAAAAATATATAGGGATAAGTCCACCCCTAAAATTCTTTCTTTGAGATACACCCCTGGAGAGGCAAAAGTACTATTGTGCCCTTATTTGTAAATTTTAACCAACTGCATTCAGCTTTTCCAACTGCATTCAGCATTATAGCTAACTGCACTCCTTACTTTTAGACCTGCATTTATCATTTTTTCAGATTTTTTAATAAAAAATTATAAATTTTTATTTTATTATTATTTTTTTTATACGTACCCTCTTTTTCTATGTTTTTAATTTTTTAATTTTTTTATTTTTTAATTTTTATTTTTTAATTATTTTTAATTTTTAATTCTGTTTTTTTAATTTTTTTAATTTTTTTTTTATTTTTTTTTTATTTTTAATTTTTTTTAATTTTTAATTTTTTAAAATTTTTTTTTATTTTTAATTTATTGTACTGAAATTGACTACACATGACTATAGTATACCACAGTCATGTATAGTTATATGTAGCCATGTACTATTTTTTTACCCCAAAATTATGGTCGATCGATTATAAAAACCGTTAATTATATATAAAAAAAATCATCTATACCATAAAAAAATTCAAAATTTGATTCTTGATATTATAATAATGCCTAACAAAAAAGTGAAAAAAAAACACAATCACTAGATCACTATACATCAGAAAAACCACATAGCTTGTATATAAATATATATAACTACATGGAACTATACATGACTACAGTTATCTATACGACTAAATTTGCTCAAATCGCACTTGTGTTAGGACCGCTTGTTTTGAACAACGAACACAATCCACTTCGCAAAAACTACTACATAGTAGTTCAAACACCAAGACCTGTGAAAAAACTTACTACATAGTAGTTCAAACACCAAGACCTGTGAAAAAGAAAAAGAGTTAAACAAACAACGAATTTTGCTTCAAATTTAAATGTGCAAACACGCACTATCACCTACTGGTATACATAGGAACTCCCCACATAACTCATACATGACTACATATGACTACATGACTACATAGTTTATATATAACTATATATTACTACATGTGACTACACCATATATTACTGTATGTTACTACACGTGACTATATATTACTATATGTGACTACACCATATATTACTGTATGTTACTACACATGACTATATATGACTACATGTATATGACCACATGTGACTATATACATGTATGCGACTTTATTTGTCCCTTCAAGTACCTGACTTTGTTCTCGAGGCGATACGAGACTGCTTATATAATCAAAATCAAATTACAAACAGAGTATGCTAGTCATTATTCTTCGTATAACCAAAGGTCAAAGATCAAAGCAAGTTGAAGTAGAACACCATAGATAAAATAATAGTTGAAACACACTTAAAGTAATCACCTATTTCATTCTCGATAAATAAAATATCAATATCATATTACCAACAAAATATTCTCATCACGAATCTACATATACTCCCAACTATAAAAAGAAGTAAACAAATTATTTGAGGACCAATAAACAGTGATTCAATATATTAAGAAGCACATTAAAATTCATTACCTTTTCTATGCCTGCAATGGATGAACAGTCAGTTTTGTCGCACCACCACCCGGAAAAAGTTTCGAGTTTTTTTTTTTTTATTTCTTGCCACAACAATCGCGTTTTATGTACAAGTCGACTCCTAAAATTAAACTCACAACTTCACACAAAAAAAAAAGAAAAAAAAATTAAAACCAAAACTCAAAAAATAACTGCAAAATTCGAATTACATTACATGAAAAATACAAAAAAACAATGAAAAACACTTTATTGATAAATTTACTTTGGTGAACTATAGACACATGTAGTTATGTCTTCTTGTTACTACATATGACTATATATGACTATATGTAGTCAACTATAGTCACATGTAGTTGTGTTCATTCTTGTTACTACATGTGACTATATATAACTACGTGTACATGACCACATGTGACTATATATGTATAGTTATAAAATTCATCTACACCACCAAAAAAGTTCACAAGTAAATCTATATAAAATGGTGAATAGAACAATGCGGTTGAAAAAGAAAATTATTACTTACCGTGCCAACAGTTTAAGGTGATCAATTATGCTTCGTTCTGCTTTCCTCTGCTTTTCTCGATTGTCTCTACCAAATGCTGCGCAAGACATACATTATATATTATTAAAAAAGAAAAACAAGAAAATAGCAGACAATTATAGAAAATAAGCCTTCAAAAAATTAACCAAAAGATTAAAATAAATGTCCATAAAAGTATTCTGAATGGAAAGTTGTGAAGGGGAGAGCACAAAGCAGGTTGCGCTACGAAGTATAAAAAACAGTTTGAAAGTAGCCAAAGGCAACTATTACAAGGACAACAGTGAAGAAAACCGAGGAAGTGGTGAGCATAATGCTGGCAAAGGGGTTCGTATTGGGAAAAGATGCCCTCAACAGGGCCAAGTCGTTCGACGACAAGCACCACCTGTCGTCGAACGCCTCCGCCACCATGGCTTCCATCGACCACATGATAGGGCTGAGTGAGAAGCTCAGCATGGGGACCGCCTTGGTCAACGATAACGTCAAGGAAATGGATGAGCTCCTCCAGGTGTCGGAAATCCCCAAATCGGGGTTAGCCGCCGCCGAGCAGAAGGCCAGCAGCAT